ACAAGACTGATGTAAACAGTTATTTCTGCAAGGATGGAGATATGAATAAGTTGCCTTGAACTCAGAGGACAGCTTAGCTCCATTCCAAGGGTCAAAGAACTATTCCTTAAATGGTCTACAAACCTGAATCTTGGAAGATGAGTGGGAATTTACTAACAAGACAGTTTCAGTGGAGTTGGGTCTCAGGTCAGAGAGTGGCGGTTTGCTGAGTGAGTTAAGAATGTGATAATAGTGAGTATACATTACTCTGCCCAGAGGAATCAATGACAATAAAAATGATGTGGAACAGTCTGTTGGACCCTTCTTTTTGTGTCTCATGGAGTACTGGTCAGAGGGAAGCCCTTGGTCTTTAGTGCCAGTGAATAAAAAAGTTGTTCACATCTGAGATTCAATAAAGTTAACCTTTACATTTAATATCATTTTTTAAAAGGCTATCCTTCAAGAATATGTTGGAGTTATTTTAAAACAATGAATACCTTCATAGGCAGTAGTGTCTCAGGTCTTTGAAGAAACCATGATGAAATGCATCTACCCCTCTTGGGACTTCCAAACCATTAACATTTGGAAAAACAGAAAAATGTAAGTTTAAAATAAAGCTAAAAAAAGGCCCAAATATAATAAACACAGAATGGTTTTTGAAAGATCTACTTTCTTATATTTCTTGATGAATTCTTACATGTAAGCTGAGCCTCTTCCTTCCTCTACCCTTCCTTTTTAAATAATTATTTCCTCTGTTATATATGTAACAGATGTTAGCTGGCTGTCAATCCAGAGATGGCAACATATTTGAAGATAAGATCTTATTTATAATTGATGGCATCTACTGAATATGTGCCATGGGGATGTAATCAACTGAGAGATTCTATGTAGTGGAAGCCATGAAGTCTGAGGTCTCATTAGAATTACATTCTTTCATTTAAAGAAATATGGAATCATGAGAAATAAAACCTTATTTCCCTTTTAACACAAAGATCCTAGGCTGTCCACTAAAAATTTTGGTGTCACTGCTTTTTCCTCTGATGGTACTAAGCATGAAAATATCTTGTTTGACTACTATTTTGGATTACTGACTGGTTATTTAAGAACTTGCAAAATCTTTACTTACACTATCAATGAGATAATCTGTCAGTGTGAAAATAAAAGATTTCTAAATGTCTAAGTGAAAAAGTGCAATACTACACTACATGAAAATCAGGAAAAGGTTAATTTTAAAGGTAATTTTGCAAAATCAATTTGGATTAACCTCTGATGCAATAAATACAGGAAATTTATTATACATATGCTACATCACTCTCCTGAAAGTTCTCTGAGATAATAAAAAATACTATTTAGTCTCATAAAAGTTTTCTAAGCTGCTATGGTTGATTGAATTGAGGTGGAAGGGTAGAGTGAAAAAAGTAGTGAACACAATTCCAACTATTTTCAGTCCCTTTCTCTGAAACTCATGCTGTAAAAATTATGACACATTTCTTAATTCAACTTTCCTAAACAACTTCAAGTTACAGATGTGAATGAAACAGTTTGAATATATGGTTAGAAGCTAGAGAGCTACAGTAGCACCAAATATTCAAAGAAGATGAACATGCAAATCTGTGTGGCAGTTTGGCCAAACAATAAAAAGACTAGTTTTAGTTTCTCCTTCCTCAAGTTACCCAAGTTTTTCTTCTGTCTTTTCTTTGATGTTTCTGGTTCAGTGATATAACACAGCAATTAAACTGAAAGATGAAAACTGTATAAATCTTCCCCTCAAAAACCTAAAAACCTATATTTTTTGGATAGTTGGGTTTGTAACTATTCTATCATTCAGATTTATTTTTATATTTGAGCTCATGTATTCATTGCACACTTGTTATGTTGACCTGATAGCATTAATAAGTACAATTTATCCACATAAGCTCCACTTTTAAAAGAAAAAGCGAGTAAACCATCATTTAAATAATACAAATGTTATCTAAATGTTCCAACATATACATACACACAAGGGTCACTTCTAATCACTAGTTTAAAATATATATATACTGATAATCCATTGTGAGACCAATTATTCTTTTTTGTTGCCCCTGAAATGCTGAACAACCTAAAACAAACAAACAACAACAACTCCTATTTCAGCAAATAAGCAAAAAACTACCTAGTAAGGACTATCACTAAACAACATGTGAGCAAGAAAATAATAAAAATCCTGAGTTCCTGAGACGATTATGTGGAGGTGAAAAAATTTTTAGCTGGCTAAAGAAGCATTTTGTGATAGCAAAATAGTGGAAAGAAAATAGAGGAATATCAAGAGATGTGGGAAAGTAATTTCATCCACTTGTACCTCATTTGAAAATGAAAGTTTAAGATAATAATCTAAGATTTCAGTTCTACAAATTTATTTCATTCAAAATGGAATTTCTAGTTAAAAAAAAAGAAGTTAATCTTTCCTATGAACAAAATATTAAAGATAAAGGAAACACATAAATACATGATCACTTATTATGGTTGAGATATGAGGTGTTCCCCAAATGTTCATGTGCAAGGAATGGTTCAGGGGTAAGATGGCTGGATTGTGAGAGTTGTAATCTAGTCAATGGAGTAATCCATTGATATGGACTAACTGGGAGGACACTAGGCAGGTGAAATGTGGCTGGAGGAGGTAGGTCACCAGAGGCATGACTTTTGGGTTTATATTTTGTTTTTGATGAGTGGAGCTCTCTGCTTCCATTTGTCATGTCCTGAGCTGCTTTCCTCTGCCATGCCCTTCTGCTAGAATGCTCTGCCTCATCTTAGGCCCAGAGCTATGGAGTTCACTCACCATGGATGAAACCTTTGAAACCATGAGCCAAAATAAACTTTTCCTCTTCTATTTTGTTCTTGTCAGGTCTTTTGATCACAGAGATGAAAAGCTGACTAAAAAAAATCACTTAAGTCACCAAAAAACAACAAAAGACCTGAAGGCAAAATATAGTTTGCCCTTCATTATTTGAAGGGAATAGGTTCCAGCACCCCTGTGGATAATCAAATCCTTGAATGCTCAAGTACATCATAAAATGGTATAATATTTACAATATAACCTGTGCATATTCTCCCATATACTACATTGAATTATACCTAATATAACCTATTATACCTAATTCATGTAAATTCTAAATGCTATGTACATAGTTATTTTATGGTACTGTTTAGGGAATAATGATGGAGAAAAAAGTCTGCTGTTTAACACAGATGAATTTTTTTTTTTTTTTCTGAGCATTTTTGCTCCACGGTTGGTTGAATTGTGGATGCAGAAGTCATGAGTAAGAAAGATGGACTGTAACTCACCATTTATACAGATTAGTAAGCAGTTAAGGAACTATCATGGGCTGGGTTTATAGCCCAGTTAGTAGAGTGCTTACCTTGCATACACAAGGCCCTAGATTCAATCCCCAGCACCACACACACAAAAAAGGAACTGTCACATTTAGTGAGTGGATGATATAAGCAAAAATGGGGAGAAAAAAAACTTATACTTTTTAATTATGTCTAACATTGCAACCTACACTTTTACTAACCAACAGAACTTAGAAAATTAAAAGTTTACGCCTGCTTCATTAACTGTGACAGACTGTTTTCCATTTGAGCCTAAATTTGAATTTTAGTGGTGCTAAGAATTTGAGAGATAACAAATGTTATGTAAGAGCCAAACCAAGCTAGTGTCATTAGAAGGTACTCATTATTCATTCTCCTCTAAACTCACAAAATTTTTTTGATTGGATCACATGCTTGAGACTCGTGGACATTTTGAGAAAAGCATTTAATTATAAATTATGAATATCAAATACTTCTTAGTTTCTTTTTCTAGGTTTACCTTCCAACAGTCTAACTGTAGACAAAGCCTTGAAAAAATAAAGTTTGGGTATTCATTTTGATATGGTGAGATTTATTGACTGGTTTAGATTCCAAAGACAGTAATAATGTGGGCTGCACGTAATAATTTTTTTTTTTAAAGAGAGAGAGAATTTTAATATTTATTTTTTAGCTTTCGGCAGACACAACATCTTTGTGGTGCTGAGGATCCAACCCGAGCCCCACGCATGCGCTACTGCTTGAGCCACATCCCCAGCCCACGTAATAATTTTTTAAATTTTACAAATAATAAATGCTTACTGAATAAATTTTGGAAAATACAGAAGAACGCAAATAAACAGAAAAAAAAGTCATCCATCCATTGGGGGTTACCATTATATAGTTTTTTGTTGAGCTGTATAGTTTTAGTCTGTATACTACTTTTGGTCTTCTGATTTAGTCCCTTTTGATATCATATTTCCTTGGCAGTTTTTAAGTATGTAGTATTTCATTTTATATAATGATGTATGTTCCGCTTTTTATAATCAACAATAAAAAAGCCATAACTTATTTCAAAAGACTTCCTACACTAATGTGCAAGGGAATGGCAGACAGAGAAGGGGCCAAGCGAAGACCATCAATGAAGGAAAAATGTGAGGAGAAAAATGTGAAGCAAAATCATAGGGTTAACCGAATCACAGTATCAATTCTTGACTTTAGAATAAAGGGTTAAATTTCACACACCTTAGTTTAAATTGATACCTGCATCCCAAGCAAATACTGCCAATTACACATGGCTCAGCATCCCTCGAGTGTGGTCTTTTAAAAAGCTGTCTAGAGCAGAAGTCACCAGAGACCTCTCAGTCGCTGACAAGGATGGCTCAGCTAGATGGTAGAGCCTGCCACCTAGGCTAGATGTCGCTATGTTGACCATAGGAACAGGCAGTTGTGCGCCAACAGAGCCAGCAACCCCAAGGGCGAAGACGCGTCTATGGCGCAAGCGCAGAGATCCCAGTGACCCCAGCGCTGCGCATGCGCCAACGTAACCACACGCTCCAGGGCCAGAGGCCCACAATTTGTCGTCACAGGGCAGCTGATCAGGTGATCAGAGTGCGTCCGGCGTTTTCCTCCCTCTTCTATCCTCCACCCCTTTCCCCTCCCCTTGTCCCTCAGCCTTCTCCCTTCTTCCTCTCTCCCCTCCTCCGGCGTCTCCAGCCGACTCCCGCTTCCGGTCGGCAGTCGTCTGCGAAAGAGTGTCCCGCCTCTTCCGCTTCTCTGGTGTCAGTGCCGGCGGCGGCAGCGGCGCCTGCGCGTCTCCTGTCAGGGTGAGCAGCCGGGTCCCCTGGGTAGTCCACCTGCACGTCGCGGAGCCGCATCCCGGGGGTCGATGGCAATGAACTATAACGCGAAGGATGAAGTGGACGGTGGACCCCCGTCTGCTCCTGGGGGCACCACGAAAACTCGGAGGCCGGATAACACGGCCTTCAAACAGCAAAGGCTGCCCGCTTGGCAGCCCTTCCTTACTGCGGGCACGGTGCTACCTACCTTCTTCATCATCGGCCTCATTTTCATCCCCATTGGCATCGGCATCTTCGTCACCTCCAACAACATCCGCGAGATCGAGGTGAGAGGAGGGAGCGAGAGAGTTGGCGTCACCGGAGGCCGGGTCTTCAGCGCCCGCCCCCTCCTACCCTAGCTCTCCAGAGCGGGACTGGCGGGTCCCGCCCTCCCCCTACCCTCCGTCCTGTTTGGTTTCTTTCTGTATTGGCGGGTGTTCAGAATTCGCAGTTTTATCTTAGCTGCTTCCCACCCATGATTTACACGGATAGAAACGGAGTGAATGTTTAAACTAGGAAGTGAGTCAGGTGAAGAACGCTTAGGAGTTAAAGTGTTTTTCAGCCAGGTGAAAAGAGACGTGGGAGGAAAAGTTCTGTCTAGCTGAAACCCGAGGGAGTTGACGGGTGAGAGTGTCATTACTTGTGTGGGCATTATCCCGGGACACAAAGATTACACCGTGGCCATTGTTGAGAAAAGGACCCAGAGTCAGAGTTTTGATGCTTTTTATGTGAAGTCAAGTCGTATGTCACCAGGTCACACATTAGGACAAATGAGTAGTTCCAAGTATGTACAGTACCTTTCATTTTGAGCTAATTCAGTGTTATTATATGTAGGGCATGATATAAGTAAAACATAACCTGAAACTTCAATTCTGGTTTTGCGTTGAGGCAGTGTTTGTAATTATGCTGCACATTCTCCCTTGACTTTTAAAAACTTTTATAGAGTTAGTGATAGTATACTGAATAAGCTGTGCATTATTAAACATTTTACTGTTTTGTTTTTAATGGACATTTTTCTTATATAAAACACGACAGAAAAACTTTATTGGGGAAGCATTTTGGTTTCTGTCAGAGCAGCAATAACAGTATCTGTATCCATCTGCAGTGGTGAAGTATGGTTGATAGATGTAAATACTGTACATTCATTAAACATTTGCTCTGTTCTCTCTTCTTTCATATCTTACCGTGTTTTATCTGTTTGAAAAGGCAAGACCTGATACCCAAGTAATCTTGACTTTTTTTTTCATTTCTGTACATATGTATATATCCTTGCAGACTTTTTAAAAAAATTTTTGGGGGTTGAACCAAGGGACACTTTATTACTGAGCTACATCCCTGGCCCTTTTTGTTTATTTGTTTAAAATTTTGAGACATGGCTAAATTGCTTAAGTCCTCTTTAAATTGCAGGGTTTGGTCTCAAACTTGCCATCCTCTTGCCTCAGCCTCTGGAGTCACTGGGATTACAGGTGTGCACCACTGTTCTTGGCCCCATAAGCTTTTTTTAAATAAATGCTGTATGTGATTTAATGGGGCTTTCAGGATAATTTTATTTTTAACTAGGAAGTAGGGATTCCTTGTTTCCAGTTTAAAGTATTACCTCTAAAAGCAAGAGCGATCTACTTTTAATTTTACAGTGCTTACTTCACTGTTAATAACAGTAATAAGAATAGTATGTATAGCATAACTAGTTTTTGAATCCTTTACTAAAAATCATTTTCAGTTTAATAACATGTTGCAGTATATTTTTTCAGTATGCATTTTTATGTCTATATCTCCCTAATAGTTTTGTACATGTAGTTTAAAATGCTACAAAATCTGAAACTTTTTAGGTATGTCATGTGATGTACTCAAAAACTTTGGAATTTTGAAGTGTAGGGATGCTCAACTGGTGAAGTCTATGCGAATATTCCAAAATCCAAAAAATTGAAATCTGAAGCACTTCTCATCCCAAGCATTTTGGATAATTGATATTCAGCTTATACTTGTTCTCACAACCACACAATGATCACACATTATATAAGATTTGAGTAACATGGTGAAATGTGAAGACCATGACTCTAGTAGCTAGAGTCAGGCAGAGTTGGGTTAAATTCCAGCTCAGCAAATTAAGTAGCTGAGATTTTTGGAAAATTTACTTAATTTCTCTTAAGGTCAGTATTAGAAGCAACATAGATACTAGCCTGGCACTAAGTAATGATGATCCTTAACCATGAGATGAGAAATGGAGTCAGAGAGGTTGAAATTTGACTGTAAACTAGGTAAATTATAAAATTGAGTCAGAAATCCACTATCTTGATTCCCAATTTAAAGCTTTCACACTATACTAAGATCCTACTGCAGTGCTAAATGATAGTAGATGAAGTTGAAAATAATTTAACATTAAAAATTTGAATCATCTTATTTAAATTTCTTGATATTAAGGAGAAAGCAATAATGTGGAATTTTATATGAATGATTATTTACAAATTATATGAAATTAAATATTTAACTTTTTTTTAAACTTTAAAAACATTTTTTAAGTTGTAGGTGGACACAATACATTTATCTATCTATCTATCTATCTATTTATTTATTTTTATGTGGTGCTTAGGATCAAACCTAGTGCCTTATGTGCTAGGCAAGCATTCTACCACTAAGCTATAGCCCCGGCCCTCTTTATAACTTTTGGCTTCTAAATTTTTTTTAACAGTAAATACTGGCAAAATGGAAATTTCTTAGATTGTTGTCATGTGCAGTGCCAATTTAAAGTTGCCTGGAGAAACATGCTGCAGTTTGGTCTGGTCAAAAGAGCACTGAAGTTGAGTCAGGGTATTACAGTTGAAGTTCAGTCTCACTCTCTAGTTTGTGATCCTAACCATGTTTTTTGAGTCCAGTTTCTTGATGAATCAAAATAATCAGTTTAGATTATCTCTAAGATTCTTTTTCAACTTTAAAATTCTGTGACTTCCAACTTTAATGTGATTTAAAAAGTGCTGTGTATTCACATTGTATCATCTTTGGAACCAGAGGAAATAAAAATTAGTAATAACTTGAAATTTTGTACTAATATTGACATATAGTTATGCAGAGATAATCCATATATACTTAAAAGTGTTAGCATTAAATATGTAGTAAAGTGTTTCTGAATTGGATCTGGAATTATTAGAAAAACCTTGGAAGCTTTCCCCAAACACACATTTGTCTGTCGGCACTTCTTTGTTTTTGTGCTGGGTATTGAACTCAGGACATCAAGCATGCAATAGGCTACATCTCCAACACCTCTACTTTTTGGAACCATTAGTTTAAAGTATGTTGAGGGTTATTGAAAGTAAATGGTTTGCTGGGTGCTGTGGCATATCCCTCTAATCCCAGTTGATTCAGGAGTCTGAGGCAGGAGGCTCATAAGTTTGAGGCCAGCCTTAGCAATTTAGTGAGACCTTGTCTCAAAATAAAAAATAGAAAGAGGGGACTAGGGAGATAGCTCAGTGGTAAAGCACTTGCCTAGCATGCATGTGGCCCTGGGTTCAATCCCCATCACCACATAAAAAATAACAACAGAAGATTTTACAAAATAAAAAGGGCTGGGGACTAGTGATAAAGTACCCATGGGTTAAAAAAAAAAAAAAATCCCCAGTACAAAAAGAAAAAAATAAATGGTTAATGAGACATTCTGGCCAACATTCACTTGTTACTGTAAGTTGTTTGCATCTTTAGTTTCTTTATTTTTGAAAATTTGAAAACCTCGTTGCTGTTTTAATTAAGATTACTAGGGCAAAGGAGACTTTTTAAATCAAAATACTTAGCTTAATGTGCTAAGGTCAAAAAATCCAAAAATTTAAGGTAAAATCAGTGAATATTTCATTTTTCCAGAATTGTTTTACTAAAAACCTTACTGCTCTTATAAATCTGAACTAACCTGAAAAGGGTGTTTAAAAAAAAAAAAAAAAGCTTGACATTTTAATGTCTATATTTGGCAGCTTATTTCCTTTCTCCCCTTGTCAGGTTTATGTATTTTGTTGGTTTTTATATTTTATAAGTTAAATAAAATGAGACTTTTAGAAAACTACAGTTTTTAATTTTATTGTTAAAATATTTTAAATATTATCTTAACACACTAGGATTTACAATCTCATTTTTTATTGAGAGTAAGGAATGAGTATTTCCTTTAATTTGGCAACTGTAAGAGTCAGGCACATACTTCCACAGCAAAGGTAATGCTTTTCTAGTTTAGGGTTCTTGGTGAAGCTGAGTTATGGAGTTAACTTGAAAAAGATAGTAGGGTGTTTTAGTCAGCTTTTTTGCTGCTGTGATTAAAAGATCTGACCAGAATGATTGTAGAGGGGGAAAGTTTTATTTAGGGGCTCATGGTTTCAATTATCTCAGTCCATAGAACAGGCTTCATTCCCTGGGGCTTGAGGTGAGGCAGAACATTATGGTGGAAGAGTGTGGTGAAGGAAAGCAGCTCATGTAGTTATCTGGAAGCAGAGAGAGAGTGAGTTGGCCTGCTCCAGATACAAAATATATACCTCTTAGCCATGCCCCAAGTCCCACCTCCTCCAGCCATACCCTACCCACTTCTGTTGCCATTCAGGTAATCCCTATCAGGGAATTAATTCACCAATTGGTTTAAGACTCTTACAACCCAATCATTTTTCCTCTGAACCTTCTTGTGTTGCTTCACAGTGACCTTTTGGGAAGACACCTCACATCCAAACCATAACATGGGGTTATCTTAACTTTTGAAAAAACTTTTAACCGTATAAAGTTACATAGTTTTAAATTAATGGTTGGCCTGTAGTCCTAGCTACTTAGGGAGGCTGAGGGAGGGTGAGTTTAGGAATTCAAGGCCAGCTGGGCTGCATAGTAAGAGCCTGTCTCAAAAAAGTCAAAAAATTAATTAATGTTTAGAATCAAATGAGGATGTTATTCAGAATAATATTCAGAATTAATTTAGAAACTGAACATTTACTTCCAATTAATATTGTCAAAAGTGTTCACGGTAAATTTTCAAGAAATTTTAATGGATTAGCTTTACTCTCCTATATGATAAACTCCCATTTTATTATTATTTCATTTAGTCCACTTAGTTATTTTATCCTAATTAACTTCTGTTTTCTGATAAAAATATATTTTTATCTATGTTTTTACTCCCGTGTAACTTGAATTCTTAGGTTGCAAAATTTTTAAGATAAGATTTTCCACCTGCATTAGTGATCTTTGTTTATACTTATTCTTTAGCTAAGAGTCAAGGAAGGATAAATTGCTTTTTATAAATGATTGTTAAAGATTAAGCATTTTGGATAACCCC